TCTTAAGTTATTGTCGATTCTCCTTAAATTCTCATTTTAGTCATCAACAGTAATTTCTCTCAACAGAAAGAAAATTAAATACATAATTTTTTAAATCACTGATATAGTTTTAATATGGCCCTAGGGGGGGTCNAGTTATTGTCGATTCTCCTTAAATTCTCATTTTAGTCATCAACAGTAATTTCTCTCAACAGAAAGAAAATTAAATACATAATTTTTTAAATCACTGATATAGTTTTAATATGGCCCTATGGGGGGGTCACCAGAATTTTTTAACTTGTAAAGGGGTCACGTATTTAAAAAGGTTGAAAAACACTGCTCTAATATATACAGTGGCTATACAGTTAACTTAAACATTGGTCAAGTCCATTTTCAAGTTGCCCCCTTAACAATTGAATTGCCCCCTGTGGGGCTTGGGCCCCATGTTGGGAAACACTGGCTTAGTGGATGCAATGATACTATACATGTTGGTCCAAACCTAAACCTACCATTGCAGGTAAAAACTAATTAAAATTATCCCACTACAGAATAAAGTTGTATGTTTACCTAATGTTCCAATATGCAATTTTATTAATAAACAAATAATATCAAAAATGTAAACTTGCATTCATAAATAGCATGATTAAAATTATTTATAACAATTACATTTTATCCTGGCTCATTTAATTAAAAGTTATCTTAGGGGCAAAAGGTTGAATTTGGAGCTCTCTCAGAGCCAAATGTTTTTAAAATAAAATACTTCTGTTATTAAAACTAGTCACTTGTTTGTTATAGGAACAGTTTATTTACTTTGAGCATAGTTATCAGAGAGTAATCTGATTCCATTTATAATTGTTTTCTTCATATTCTAGATATTAATAAGCATTGTAAAATATCATTTAAAAACTTTTTCAAAAACAAAGTTTTAAAATTCAACTCTATTCAGAAATGATCGATTTTCGTTTCTTTAAAATTTTCAAAATGTTTTTTTTTTATAGAAAATTAATTTATAAAAGGAGAGAGAAATGTTATAAATAAGAAATTTTTTTTAATGAAATACTGTAATTTTGTTTTTAAATTATAGAAAGTATAAAAAAAACTAATTTTCTTAAATTACAAAAGAATAATTTCTTTAAAGGATTTGCTTTAACATTTGCAGAAAGCAGATATCATACAGTGTAAAAAAATTTAGTGTACTTTAATGGTATAAATGGTTTACTATAGCAGCAGTATTTATTTTAGTAAAAATTATTAAATTATGTATTTAAAAACAAGGTTATATAAATTTACCGTTTAGTTTTTTAACATATAAACATTTTATATAATATGATTTTTTTTTATTCTTTAAGAAAATATTTTTTATTTATATAAAAGTTTTTAGCAGTTTAATATTACTTCTTAATATTTCTTTGGTAAAGATTGTTTTAGGTTGTAATAGGTCGATAAAAAATTCAGAGGTAGAATAAAATAATACATCATTTTTTTAAATTAAATATATGCTTGTAAATAAACTTTAACTTTAGTCAAACCATTTATTTCATGGAAAATATGATGATAAGTTTTTAAATTTGAGTTAGTAAATTGGAAGAAAGAGACTTTAAAATTGAATTAAAATTCTAATTTTGCATTAGATAAATCATGAATTTTTGTTATAAGTAATTCATAAAATAAAAAATTTAAACATTACTGCTTCAATTTTTCTTTTAAATCATTTCTAAGAAAGTGACCAAACTAAATAAATACATAAGAAACATCATATGAATTAATAAAATTTAACTGGAAATTTAAATTGATTATAGAAAGTAAATTTTCATTTACAAAGCAAAGCTATAAGAAATAATAATTTAAGACTTTTGAATTGTACTTGATAGTATTTATATATATTTTTTGTGTAAAATAATAAAATTTAAGATAAATGGTTTATATTTTTCATCAAGTATTATCTTAATAAGAATATAAAAATGTTATTGACAATATTAATAAAATATATTTTAAATTTTGTTTATTGAATAGTTAATGCTTTTTGTAATGTATATCATACTGTTACACTAAACATGACTTGTATAAGTATTAGAGATTCAGTTGAATGGCTCAAAAAAATATAACATACCTTAGTGATAAATTATTTTTTTATTATATGAATTTTTGTTTTTTATTATTTCTTATTTTCTTATAACAAATTAAAAATATTTTATAAATTTCATTATTTTCATTAAATAACAGATTATGGATATTTTGATATAAGGATTGTCATTTTTATACTGTTTATTTGCATTTGCTTAAACCAGTGGTTCCCAATTAGTTTTTCCTGCGTACCACTTCAAGAAAGAGCTTAAACTCGCATACCCCTTATAACAGAAATTCATATTAATCCATACTAATATTATAAATTTGAAGGTAATTCTGTCTGTCTGTCATTTTTTCACATCTAAACTGCTGAACAGGTTTTAATAAAATTTGGCACAGAGATAGCTTACATGTTGGAGATGGATATAGGCTATACTTTACTGAGAGAAAATATCTTACTCCCACAAGAAAATTTGATATAATGTGGGCGAATCTGTGGGTAGACAGCAAGTGATAAATAGAATAAGTTTTTTTTTACATTTATTACCTTTAAAATACAATTCTAATAATAATGAAACTAATGTAAGGTTATTTAATTTTAATGTGACAAATGTGCACGATTTTCTTTGCACAACTTTGTAAAATCTGGTTGCTTTTTGGCCAGCTTCAATCTCAAGTCATCTTCGAGTTGAAACATGAAAACTAAACATCGTCACTGACAGAAGTCAGTGACGATGTTTAGTTTTCATGTTTGTCATGGCCGAAAATCCGCTCTCGCAGAGGTATGTTATGCAAAATGGTAGTACAGTAAATATTTTATTGCCGCTTTGCTGACATGATGATAATGATAATTGTACAATTAACACAAATTGTGTTAATTGTACAATTGTACAATTAACACAAATTGTGTTAATTGTACAATTTTTGTTTCTTGCATAAGAATTTAATTTAGGTATTGTTACAAATGCATTATTTTGATGAAATTTCGAGAATATTTTTAGTTATAAATAAACGAATTTGTGCATTCGACATCATGTTGTAAATTGCCGAATTTTTGATGGTCCACCCATTATTTTTTTGATTGCTTCATCTCATGCATTTAAATTTTAAATTGACTGATTTTAGATTGCTGCACGTACCCCTTTATGCAATTTCGCGTACTCCTAGGGGTACGCTTACCACTAATTGGGAACCATTGGCTTAAACTATTATAAAGTTATTGTTGACAGACAGCACACAATTTACTGTACCTCTCAGGCTTCTTTTTTCTTCTAGTAGGAAATGTTTTAATTAATGTATAATAAAAAATTAAATGCTGGAAGTTGTATAAATCTTTTTTCTGCCAATATATTTTTTATTTGAAAATATAAAATAGAATAATAAACAAGAGTATATTTATATTTTAAATATTCAGATTATTTGAAAATAAAAATTGATCAGATTGTTTGAAAAATAAATAAAAGTATTTATTTTATTTATTTATTTTCTTTTTAATTGTTATAGTGAAACTTATTCATTTTTGTCTCTGTTGTTTTAAGATTAAAAAACAAAACAAAAAAAAAAAACATAAATTGTTAAGCTAAATTTTTCTTCCATTATAGTAAGGCTAGTGTTCTAGTATACTGAGAAACTGAAAAGTTGGCTGCTTCAGAAATTTGTAAACACAGTGGCAAGCACAGTTAACTCAGTGCAATGTCATTGGCATCATTACTCTGTCTAGCTGACCGTGTCCAGAATTGTTTAATAATTAATTATCTTCATTCTGAATATGATGGTCTGAAATACTTTTCTCTTTATTAATGAATGTTTATAAACTTCATTAAATATTACTTGGTGATATTTATTGGCATCTTATCAAATTAGAATGTGTTTTGGTAATAAACATACAATAACATTTTAGTTTAGTAATACAAAAATAAATAAATTTAACTAATTACAGCAATTTATAAAATTCAATATATATTCAGAAGATCTTGGACAAACATGCTGGTTACAAAATCTAAGACAAAAGAAAATGTTATTTATTATAATAAAAACAATTTTTTTAATGACTATATCCTTTCAGAAAAGCATTTTATATGATCTGAAGTCTATATAAATTTATGTAACTGTTTAATGCACACTAGATTTTGACTATTATTAGAAATTTAGTGATGATGAAATTCATTATTTATTTACTATTGAAGATCAAGAATCTGCATTCAGAATTTCAGGTGCATTTAATCATGTTAAATGTTACATTTTTTACTATTATTCTAAAAATTCAGAGTTGACTGTAAGCAATTATTTAATGAAAATTTTATATAATTATTAACCAACGTTACATTTCTCTTTTTCTAAAAAAGAAAACAAATAAATTATATACTTTTTGATTTTATTTTAATTATGAAAGTAGTGAATTGTAAACTAACCTCAAATTTTATATAATTATATTCAAAAATTTTAATTCTATTCAGCATTAAGAAGTAAGTCATAAGCTATTTAATACTTTTTAAAACATTTAATAAAAAACTTTTTAAACATTTAAGTCTGCATTTAAATTTTTAATTAATTAACATGAAATTCATTTATAGTTGGGTGTATGTATACAGCTAAAACTAGAATTATAATTAAAATTCTGTCTGACTGTAATAATTTACATCTGCTTATAAATTTTCTCTGAAAAATATATGAATAAATTTTTTATGAAAGATGCATAAATCTTAATAAAATATTGTCATAATATCTGCACATTATACATAAACCAAACACAAATTATGTAGATAGATATTTTTGTATCTTAATGCATTTTTCATGTTTTCAAAACAATATAATTTAAGTTACAGAAATATACTAATTTTATGTAGTATATTTATTGAAAATATTCAAATTACTGTTATGTTATGTAAATTTTATTCTAAAATATTTAAAAGTTTACATTAAATAAACTGAAATTAATTTGAATTCCAATTTAGATAATCTATGTAAGAATTTGCAATGCAAACCTCATCAGACATGTGTAGTGAGAGATTCTACAGTTGCTCTGTGTGTTAACAGAAAGAAATTAAGATCTAAAGAGTAAGAATGTATTTAAAATTTTGTTTTTGTGAACTATTAAAATGTAAATTTGTTAATGTTTTTCTGATATTCATTATGTTTGATATTACTTAGACCAAAACCTGTCCACAAGCAATCTAAAGAAGATGAATTAGAAAGAAATGATAATGAGTGGGATGACCAAGATAGTGGAAGTGACACTTGCATTCCCTGTCCCCTTGCCACATCCGATTTTGTCTGTGGATCTGATAATTTAACTTATTCTTCTGTCTGTAGATTAGAATTCCGCAACTGTATGCACAAAACTTTAGTTGTAGTTGCTTGCAAAGGTTTCTGCCCATGTAAAGGTAAAAAAAAACCACTTTTTTTAAAATCATTTTTATTATAATTTTGCTTATACTAGATATTGAATTGTTTTGTTATTTTAGCTGCAAAATCAGATAATGATCATCACAAAGAACAGAAGATGAAAGAACGATGGAATCATTACATCAATAAATATCAAAACACAATCAATAAGCAAAACAAACTCTCAAAACAAAAGCAATCAGAGAAAGAAGATAAAATGAGTGATGTTACAGTTATAGGGTGAGATGTTTATATATATATATTTAAAGTTTATAAATTATTTTTTACAATTATTATATTACAAGTTTTGTTTGTTAACTGTTAATATTTGTTTTGTTTAAAACCATTCTGTACCATATAATTTCATTAGAAAATGTGTGTTTATTTTTTTAGTTTCCGTCTTGGTCTTTATTTTATTTCAGTAATTTTTTGCCATTTCTGAAACAAGCAAGTTTGATAACTCAAACAAGTAAGTTTGATAATTAACAGAAGAGATTGCTTTTTACCAAAAATCATATTAACAAAATCTGAATACTAATCATTTTCCAGTGCTTTTATTTAACATTATTATTAGCATTTTTAACAAAACATACAGGAAGAAATAATTATTTGATTTCTTTTTGTACTTGGAGGTTTATACTCTCCACTACAGAAATTTAAATTTGAATTAATTTTTGTTTCTTAGTAGCAGTGAATCTGGTTTTACGGAACACCAAGGAAAACAAAATTCTGTACTTACAAAAGTTTCTCCAACAGTTGTAAAGAGGGGTGAGTGTGAAAATATGCAAAAATAAAATTGTTTATATGTCTATGTTCTGAACATATTTTATTAATTGTAGGCTGTAGTGAGGATGAACTGAAAGCGATGGGTGACAGATTACTTGATTGGTTTTCTGTAGTAATGTCAGATCATCGAAGGGGCCAGTCTCGTCGTAGATCATTCAGACTAAGCCACAGTAATTTTATTTGTAATTAAAAGAAAATGGTGTATATTTCAACTTTCTTATAATTAAATTTGATTATTTTACAGCAGAATTACCAGATTGCAAACCAGAAGTAAATTGGATGTTTCAGCATTTAGATACTGATGGTGACATGAAGTTGTCACTCCAGGAACTATATGACTTAGAGCATGATGACAGAGAATATTGTCTGCGACCTTACCTTCTAGATTGTGATGTGGATGGAGATCTGGTTCTAAGCCCTCATGAGTGGTGTTCTTGTTTTGATAAATCACGTATGAAATTCAGAAAAATTTTAAGAATTGGAAAAATTGAGTTAAAAATAAATTTGCTATTTTCAAAATATTTTTATTTCAGAGAGACCTTGTGCTGCTGCTTTGAAACAAATTCCACCAGGATTGATAGGTATTTAAATTATTATAGTGCATTAAAAAATTAACATAATTTATTTAATAATAATTGTAAAATTTTAGGAGGTTATTATCCAAAGTGTGATAGTGATGGATATTATGTTCCGACTCAGTGCCATCCAGGCACGGCCACATGCTGGTGTGTAGATCGACATGGAGTAGAATTTACTAATACCAGACGCAGGGGTCGACCTGACTGTGGTATGTTTCAAATAACTCTTTCAACATTTTAAGTAATGATATTATTTAATCAGTTTCTGATATATCTGCCATATGGCCATATGTTTAGTCCACAGCCATGTGAATTCATGTTTGAAACTAATCCAGATTCTTATAATTTACTATGGTTATTATGAATCAAATTATTGTTTGCTCTCCTTTTACTATTATTATGAGCAGACTTATTCAATTGTGGCCAGATTTATGCCAGTACCTCATGTAAATAAATTAATCAATTTCAGATTTACTGAATAAATTTTATATTCAAGTTTTCTAAATAAAAATACTGTATTTGATGGCACATAGGATACACTTTTTCCAAAAAAAAAAAAAAAGACTCAAAATTGCTTTACATCTATGCAAAGATGAAGCTTCTTGTAAGCTAATGTTTACCATAGATGCTAGTATATACTACTGATTATTATTATTATTATGTGTTGGGTTTAGTGGGTTATACTCGGTACACACTGGTGGCTGTGTACTATGCCGGACCAGAGTCAAGGCATAGCAACCAAAACAAAACTAAAATTAAATGTGTGTGTCAGTGTCAGTATTAAGGAATTTCCTAACAATATGGCATGTATTCAATATAGTGGCCTTCTGTAGTGTGATGTATGTATTTCTACTCAATTGTAATGTTCCCAGGCTTTTGTGTAGCGTGTGTGGTATCACACCTGTACAGGAGAGAACGACAGGTACAATAAGCACCCTATCCATCCTCCACAGATGCCTTATTTCCTGGGCGAGTTCTGTGTACTTGCTAATTTTTTCAGTGCATGTGTTTTGTACATTGTGAGTGTTTGGAATGGCTATGTCTATAATGTATGTGATTTTATTGTGTTTGTCAATGAGTGTGATGTCTGGTCTGTTGTGGTAAATTGTTTTATCTGTGATTATGGCTCTGTCGTAATACATTTTGTGCGTGTTATTTTCCAATACTGTCTGTGGAATATACTTGTAGTATGGTTCGTGGATGTCTGCCAATTTGTGTTTCTTTGCAAGCTCTTGGTGTATTATATTTGCTACTTGATTGTGTCTATGTAAGTAATCTGTCTGTGCCAAGAGCTTGCAACCAGAAGTGATGTGTTGTATAGTTTCTGGCATGATGTGACATTTTCTGCATGTGTCATTTGTGAGTGTTGTATCTTTGAGTATGTGTTTTCTGTAGTTTTTAGTATTTATGACCTGATCCTGTATGGCAATCATGAATCCTTCCGTCTCCCCAAAGAGGCATCCCCGATCTAACCAGCTGTTTGACGCAGTTTTGTCAACAAAATCCTGGGCCAGGTCATAAGGATGCCTGCCATGGAGAGCCTTTTGAGCCCACGATTGCTTAATGTTGTCTATGCTTTTTATATGTTGTGTCATGTCTGTATGTTGTGAGTGTAAGTTTAATGGTGTGTTATTTGAGTCTGCTAGAGTTACTGCTTTATGTAACTGTGATGTTTCTTGTTTCTTGTAGAAAAACTCTCGCAGTGACTGTATTTGTTTGTAGTGAAGGTTAACTATGTCAATCAGGCCACGTCCGCCTTCTTTACGTGGAAGGGTTAATCTTTCTGTGGCGGATTTAGGATGATGTTGTTTATGCTTAGTAAGTGTTGTTCTTGTTTTCCTTTGGAGTTGCTCGAGATCTGTGTGAGTCCAATGTATAACTCCAAAAGAGTATGTGAGTACTGGGATGACATATGTGTTTATTGCTTTAACTGTGTGTTTTGCATTTAACTGTGTTCTAAGTATAGCGTTTAACCTACTTTGGTATTCTTTAATTAATCGTTGCTTTATTTGTGTATGTTCTGTTAGTTTGGCCTGTTGGAATCCTAAGTACTTGTAGAACTCGCCCTCTTCCATGGATTCAATAACGTCTCCATTTCCAAGTGCAAAATCTTCTTTCTTCAGGATTCCTTTTTCTATGTGAAGTTTTTTGCATTTGTCTAGGCCAAACTCCATTTGTATGTCCTTAGTGTATGAATGTGTGATTTGTAGGAGTTGATGAAGTTGTTTTTGTGTGGATGCATAAAGTTTTATGTCGTCCATGTACATGAGATGTGAGAGTGTAAACTGTGTTGTTTTTTCGTGTCTGATATTGTAGCCGTATTGCGTGTTGTTTAACATGTTGGATAATGGATTCAGGGCTAGGCAGAACCAGAGAGGACTCAAGGAATCTCCTTGAAAAATTCCTCGCCTAATGAATATTTCGTTTGTTTGTATGGAAGTGTTACTAACCCTGAGATGTAGTGTTGTTCTCCAGTGCTGCATAGTGTTTTCGAAGAATGCAATGAGTGATGGATGTATTTTGTACATGTGTAGAATATGTAGCAGCCAACTGTGTGGAACACTGTCGAATGCTTTTCTGTAGTCTATATATGCCATGTGTATGTTTCTGTGTTGTTTGTGTGCTTGCCGTAGAATGACTGAATCTATGAGTAATTGTTCTTTGCATCCTCTGTGATTTCTACGGCAACCTTTTTGTTGTTCTGTAAGAATGTCATGTTCTTCAACATGTTTGTATATTTTGTTTGTGATACATGATGTCAATAATTTGTAGAGTGTTGGAAGACATGTAATTGGTCTGTATTGTGTGGGGTCTGTGGTTTTGTTGTTTTTAGGTTTCATTTATTATTATTATTATTATAGAATTGTGTTAGGTAGAAGTAATGTTTCTCAAACATTATTATTATTGTTAAAAAATAATTGTTGTATAAATTAAAACTAGATAACATGAGACATAGTTTGTACAGGATCAAACTCTTCAAAGCTATGCTGTAATTGTTTGAACTCCTAATGAGTGTTGTCCCTATATGTTTTTATTTAAAAAAAGTTTGTCTAAATTGATTATAACTCAAGTTTTTATATCTGATATTTTGCTTTAGTCAGTAAATATTTTTAAATGATCTGTCTAGCCTCATGTAGGGACTGTAGTTTGTGTCTACCAAAATATTCTGTAGATAGAAAAGAACTAAATGCAATATTTTGGAACATTATTTTCTGAAAATTAGTTTAATATTAATTTCAACTATTTCTACAAATAAATATCAACATTAAACGATTACATTTGAAATATGTGGATAAAAAATTTTTTTAATTCAAAAATAAACTCAAATATTTATCATATTTAATTAAAAATCTAATTTGATACTAATTATTTCTGAAGCATCATGTGTAAACAATAGTTATTTATTTAATGCTTTCTTCTTATGCAGGATCCAGCAGAAAAATGGGTGATTTATAAGTTTGGTTAACTTTTGAATGTTTTAAACAACTTTTTGTGTACAAAATTTCAAACAACATAGTTTGGCATTTATGTTTTTAAGATAACATAATGCAAGTGATCTGCATTCATGTGCAAACACTTTACATTCTCAAAGGAAGTCATGTATTGACTGTCTCTAAAAGTAAACAAAGCCTGGCAAGTCACATGACTGGACCTTCTTCAACTTCTGATAGAACGTGGAAGTTGTGTTAATAGTCGGTACACACAATGTTTTTCGCATCAACTATTAACACAACTTTCGGAATACAACTTTGAAAGAAGTTGAAGAAGTCCAATCATGTGACTTGCCTCAGGCTTTGTTTACTTTTAGACACAGTCAATAGAATGGTACAGTATATTCTTGGGTATGTTGATTACATGATGAATTTTTGCCTTAAAAGTTTCAACATTTTGTAGGTGATCTTCATATACCACATTCTTCGTCGTATAAAATATTGAAATTCTTAAAAGCAAAAATTTGTCATGCAATCAATAACATACCTGAGAATACATTGTGCTATTTAAGCATGACATATTTTGAAGATGTGAAGAGAGTTTTGCACATGAATGATGTCACTTGCATGATGTCATTTTGTAAACATAAATGCCAAACTATGTTGTTTTTAATCTTGTACATAAACAATTTATTTTAAAGTATTCAAAAATTCATAAATTGCCTGTTTTTTCTGCTAGACCATGAAGCTTTAAATGATTTCTAATACAGAATTGTTATATTTTAACTAAAATAATTATATAATTTATGAAACTTTTTAATATTTTAAATTCTCATTTTGTCAAACTTATGTTTTGAATAATCATTAATATATATTCACTCTTGGATCTTTAAATTATTATATACAAGATGCCCCACTTAAAATCAGCCTGACCAAGGTAGTGAAACATTAGTGATGTAAATTTTACAGGGGATATTTAAAAGGAAAAGTGTAATGAGACCAATCCAGAGCCATATATAAAGAGAAGGAAAGTATCAACATCAATATTTTATGTAAGATCAACCTGAACATTAATCTGCATCCAGATGAATTGCATTGAGCTGTGACAAACCAAACAGAGGTGTGGCACAATGCAAGCAGTTCTGACATCAAACTATGACATATTGTGCAACTTTGAGCTCTAATGAATGTGACTAAGAAAGTGTCAGTATATCAAAGAAAAGGGTATGTTCATTTGCATTTAGTTTGAACAGAACTTAAAACAATTTTTGCAGTTTCATGGTCCATATTCAATTGTGCACATGCTCACACTGGAACACTGCTCATCCACAAAATATCCCTAGCTCAGTTCTGTGCTGTTCTCATTTCTGCTTTGTTTTGATCCAGTCATTGGTATGTGGAGCAAAACTGGGTGGTTGGTCTGGACACAGCTTTACATGTACACAAAGATACACAAGAACACCATTTTCAGCATCATCTACTAGTTTCTGTACATTTAAATAATGTTAAAATAAAGTTTATAATGAGTATTCTTTGCCTAAATTCATTTGTCATTTCCAGCAAGTGGGATCAATTTTAACAATATTTGATTCTTTCAAATAAAATAAAATTGCAGGAAATTTTTCATATTATGAACAATATTAAAATTCTTAAATTTGAATTTTTATTGGTTGAAAATGTGTAAAAATTTCTGTCGATTAGTTTCATAATTTTAAGACCTGTCAAATGACAATCCAAATTCAGTTTTTAGCAGATACCTACTCAAATATGTAGGATCAAATTTTTACATTGTATTTATGTAATCTTTTTTATATTATTAAATATTGTTCTTTAATAAGTAAATAATTACATTTGTATGTATGTTTAGATTAAGTTGCTGTTATTTATGAAAGAATTATTATAAATTACAATAGAAGCATATATGGTAATATTGCAACATTGCACAGCAGTCCAGCCATTTGTGTATTAGGAGGATGCTAACAGTTGAGTGAACTGCCAGCTCCCTCCTAATACATTAAACTATAAATATTGAATTTTGTAATGGAAAATTGAAGCATCAGGTTGTATTATTTAATATCTACTCTTTCTAATTTTATGAAAATAACAAAAAAGAATTTTATTCAAATTGAAATTTTGAATTATTGAAAAGAATTTTTAAATAATAAATTTTATATTTTGGAAATAGTAGGATTTACTTGTTGATAAAATTATTTTATTTCTTAGAGGGATTACTGAGAAGAGGAAACCAAGAGAAGGATGACGACATGGAGGAGGATGCAGAAGAGGATCAGGAAGGATCTGCTGACAGACCTCTGGATTTTTAAGCTTTCAATTTTTTTTTTGTGTTATATAATAATAGCAAAAAGTATAAATATCCCAAGTCGGGATAGGGTGAACATCACTCAATAGTTGATTTTTTAGTAACATATCTTAGTGGATTATGTAGACTATTTGTAAACATTTAATGTTATACAGTAAATAATCTTCTTACAAGTTTTTAAATAGTGAAGATCCTCTCTGGAGAAGATTACATTCTGGATGTTATATATATCTATGTTCATATATATATATATATATATTTATAAATTTGATATATGTGAAATATTCTTTTTTTCCAATTATTTGAAATTGTCACGTGATGTTATTAACGGGTGCCTCAACAATTTTTACATGGACTTGAGACGTGTAACGTGTATTTCTGCTACCCGTACACGTTTAACGTTTGAACTTGTGCCTCAACCTCTCTAATCACAGTTGGATTTTTCACACGAACTTCTGTTATTTTTAACAACAGAATGTTTGTCGCTGAAGGTTTACATGTAACGATCGACCGACGTTTTTGTCTTTGCCGACATGTCTAGATCGTATATATACGTATGCTTTCTGATGTACAGTATCCGTGCACGAGGGCGACGAAGAGAAACGGCAGAGGAAAGACGAACGCCCAGCGAACAGCGAAGCTTGTGTGTGTGTATATATATGTATGGTGCGCGTTACCGTAGGATTCTTGTACGCGAAAACTGGATTATATGCGATTGTTCAGACAACATCGGGCGATCCCATCTTCGTCGTCGTCGACCTCCAGGACATAGCCGAGGAGGAGGAGGTGGCGGCGGTGGTGACCGGCGACCTCACCTTGTCCTCGTCTAAACAAGATCGGAAACTGGCTAGGCGTCGTCAGGTAGCGAAAGGAGGAGACTCTGCCGAAGATGAGTGTACAATCTGTTTTGTTGGCCTTTTCCATCGTCAGTTAGAATGTGTTAGAGATAGCGAAATAGAAGCGCGCTCGATTTAGATGGGAGCGGCGGAGAAAACGTTGCCTATTTAGCGGTAATAATCGGGCTTTTCTTTAGTCTTTGCAGATAGAAGTGTCGTTAGAATACGGCTTGCTGCCTGTTAAACACGCGATAGGCTTGAGAGAGAGAGCGAGGCGCGACTCTCCATGGCGCTCCCCGGAACTGGCGGTCGAAAGGTGGAGATCCTCGTGTTTAGGGAGGTTTTGGGAGTGTCTAGTCAGTTCTAACAGAAATGGCATAAAATGCGGTTTCGAGATTTAGTTCTGAAAATTTTCACTTTTGAATTTTACCCC